ACTCAAGAATCCCTCCTTTCTGCCTGATTGTGCTTCATTACAGGATGTGTATATTGACCGCTCCCTGAAGAATTATATTAATATCTGAAACTTACCAGCTTGCTCATATAGTTTAGTTTTCCCACTGTGTTTGTTTTCTGTCCCAAAGTCTCTGCAGCAAAAACGAGATGCCCTGATCCCTGTATGGACTTCTAGAATGAAATCTTGGTCCTATTAAGGTCAGTTAAGAATCTCTTGTTCACAACAGTAAGACTGGATTTTATCCCAGGTCTCAAGAGGTCTCCTTTTCTCCACTGGGAACACTGAAGACACCATTGCCCCCTCTTCTGTGTGTACTCAGTACTACTGACACATGAATCAGGAGGCACAACTGGGCCCTGGTTTTTACCCGCAGTAATACTGTACTTAACAGGATAGACTCAGAGAAAGGTTTTTCTCTACAGTGCTGTCACCTGATTGACATAAATGCCCCATTTGCTGTGCCAGTCTTTGTGCAGCAATGAAATGATTAATGGGCACTGTGACAGGACCAGCCCAGATGCCCCCTGGTGGCCACCTTAATCCTGCCCTACTGCAGCTCCTCAGTTTCTCATCTGCCATGCCTCAGTATTAAATGTTATCTTACATTGGGAGGTTGCCCCCACTCCAAGCCCTGCAGTGATTCTGTTGATGCTACTCTTAGTCAGACTCTGGATCCTATGCGTGTCTCTCTGGGGCTCCAGCTCCTCCAAGCTCAGTCCCTTTCTCTGGGGCTCTGAATCCTCCAAACATCAGCTCTCTGAAACTAGGCCCTAATTGTGGCCCCATGGTCCAGTTGTCTTAAGGGCTATCATCATGGCCTCTAGCTACCTCCATAGCCACAGCCATGCAGATAATACTTGTCTTGTCATGCACCAAGATCTCTGGTCTGATGCTCTGGCCCACAGGGTCCCTGACCCTGGCTGGACCACTAGACCTTCCCCTTAGCCCTGTTCTGGGTTCATCCCCCTGAGTCCCCAGTTCTGCAGAGCTAGCTGCTATCTTCTACCTCTAAAGCGGGGGCAGGCAATTATTTCAAGCGGAGGGCTGCTTGATGAGTTTTGGTGAGCTGTTGAGGGCCTCATGGGTAGCCCCGCCCCTTCAGTTGCCCCACCCCCTGGTCGCCATCTTGGGACGGGATGTCCCACCCCCTGGCCCTTGACCTTAGCCACCGGAAGCCCCACCCCTGACCTTTGCCAGCGGAAGTCCCTCCCCTTGCACAACTTACCAGGTAGCAAGGGGTTGTAACCCCTCTAACATCCTGCCCCAGCAGTGGGATTTCAGGGGCATCAGACCTCCCCCGGAACTTTCCCCCTACCTGTGCCAGCTGGTCCCAAAAGGAGGCTCTGCTGCTGCTTCTGCTGGCCAGTGCTGACCCAGCTGGGCTTGCCCTGTCCCCAGCAGCACCTGGGAAGTTGGCTTTAGCCACATCCTGCTCCAGAGGGGACGGACTTGGCCGGGTCTGCACTGGCCAGGAAAGGCGGCATGCAGCTGAAGTCGGCTTCCCATGTGCTGCTGGGGACGGGAGGAGCCCAGCCAGGTCTGCACCAGCCAGCAGAATTGGCAGCGGAGCCGTGTGCCGCTCGGGATGGGACAAGCCCAGCTGGAGCAGCAGGGGCTCAGCTGCATTTTCCCCCTGCCTGCACGGGTCAGTCCCGAGCAGCACCACGGCTCCGCTGCTGCTTCTGCCGGCTGGTGCAGACCTGGCTGGGCTCCTCCTGTCCCCAGCAGCACACGAGGCGCTGACTTGAGCTGCATGCCACTTTTTCTGGCTGGTGCAGACCCTGCTGGGTCCCAAAGCAGCGTGCAACTGAAGCCGGCTTCCCATGTGCTGCTGGGGACGGGGTGAGCCCGGCCAGGTCTTCCACAGCCAGCAGAAGTGGTGGTGAAGCCGTGTGCTGCTCGGGACTGACCGGTGCTGGTAGGGGGAAAATGCAGGTGAGCCCCTGCCGCTCTGACTCAGCTCATCCTGTCCCGAGCAGCACACGGCTCCACCGCCACCTCTCCTCCCTGGTGATGACTAGGCTGGAGCTGCGGCCCAGCTGCTGCTTCCCCTCCCCAGTGCCGGCCCAGCCTGACCCTGTATGGCCCGAGTGGCATGGCATAGCACGGGGAAAGCCTGCCCAGCAGCCACTTTCCTGGGCTTACCTGCAGGGCAGGGCCCTTCCCAGTCCCGTGCAGAAAAGCAGAACCCAGCCCAGACACTCTTTTCCCCTCACCGGCACCACAGGTTCTGGCGCAGCCCCCGCCCCTCTCCAGCTGCAAACGTGGCCTGAGCCAGGGCGGGGTGAGGCCAGCTGGGTCGAACTGAGGTCAGGGTTGGTTGCCTCGCAACCAGAACCCAAGGTAACAGCCTGAGGTGCTGCAGCCAGCAGCTGATGCCACTGGAGGCTTTTAGCAAGGCAGCCGCCATTACGTGGGTTTTGAAGGGGCTCTATGGGCTGGAGGTGGGCTGGATCTGGCCCAAGGGCCATATTTTGCCCACCTCCACTCTAAAGTACTTGGCATCAGCCTCACACAGCCTACTGGGTCCCAGACTCTTGCAGGGCTTAGTCCATATAACACAGGCTGCCTCCCAAGGCACCCCACTCATGGCTTCTACTGCCCTTATAGCTACACTCAGTCCTCCAATACTATACCTGCCAATACTCAAACTAAGGTGCCCTCTGGGGTTCCCTGCTTCAGGGAACAAGGTCCCAGCAAACTCCTACCCTCTACCTGCTGACTTCTTGCAACTTCACCTGGTATCTGCATTGCCTGGTTTCCTCTCTCTAGCAGCACAGGCTAATAGTTTCACCTTCAGCAGATATCAGGACGAGACTAAGTTCTCTATCTCAGAAGCTGAGTTTCTAGTATGCTGGGGCTCTACCCTTTCTGGTGATAAAGCCTCAACTTTGCCCAGGGGTTTCTTCTTAGCCCACTACCCAGCTGCTCTGACCTACTGCAGGCAGCTCTCAGGTGCTGCAGCTTAAGCCACTGAGCTGCAGTCATTGCCCTCTTACCTACCTGGAGCCTTAGCTGCCTGTGGTCATGCAGCTAGCTCTCAAGCAGTCCCCTGCTGCTCTTTTAACTCCTATCTGTAGCTTCCCCTGGCTGCTTATTTCTCTTCAGCCGGTGCTTGCTCAGCTGCCTTTACTGCCTTGCAGCCCTCTAATGCTGCCCTCTCATTCTCCAAGTTGCAGGGTTTAGGAGACTCTCCAACAGGCATAATACTATTTAATCAAACAAAGCTTATGTAAAGACCAAAGGCTAATTGTTTTGTATGTGGTCGTAGCTATTAGTAACATTTTCATGTCATGTTTGTAGACAGGACAAATCCAAATCAGGTTAGTCTTTCATCAAAAAGAGCAGAAAGACTAACTGGTTTATAGAGAGATTTTGTGTAAATATCTAATTAATGCATGTTCTTATTGGAAAATTGCTGAAAAATATATTACAGCATAAATTAGTTTTCATTTTTGGCCAGGATAGACTGGGTTGGGGCATGGCTTTTTTGGCCCACCTTTTCTAGGGCCTTTCTCAAGAGAGGCAAGCAGGCCATCCCTGAATAGGGATGCTCGGATACCTTGGTAGCTGCCTCAGGTTCCTTATGCCCCTTATGGAGAGTCCGGTGACCATCATGCCAAGACCTTCAGTGCATACACTTATGCAAGAGTATGGAGGAGTGGAGGCTGTCCTAGAACTATTATCCTCCCTGCTGCTTCTGGGAGCAATGTTGGCAAGCACTAAGATCTTCTCTAAAGCACTTGCAGATCGGCTGTGTTACAGGGGGCGGGACCTCGTTATCTCATCGGTGTTAAAGGGTGGAATAGAGTAAAATCCTGTCAATCTGAGAGTTATTCATCTGTAACTTGATCCTTTCATTTCTTTCACAAAATAGAAATCATGCAAAATGCTCAAACTTCCGTATGATTAACTCATTACACTACCTCTCATCTGTCAGATACTGCTTACAACTCAATACCCTTCTCAAATACTGCTTTTATAGAAAAAGGAATGACTGTTTTTTATCTAAAAAGAATGATAGAGCGGAATGCTACTGAACCAAGTATTAAGTGCTGTATTCTGTAAATATTTAATGTGCCTGGTTCCTTATGCCTCTTACGGAGTCCTGTAACCATCACACCAAGACCTTCAGTGCATAGGCCTAGACCAAAGTATGAAGGAATGGAGGCTGTCCTCCCTTTAGACCATTGAGACAGAGTACAAAGTCCAGATTGAGTTTATCCATTCAGTGCCTCAGTAGTTGTAGCTTCTGCCAGAAAGCAACAAATTAGAGCTGCTGTTGACTGTCTAATGTCAGAGAAAGCATAAATTAACTGAACGTTATATATTTCAGGAGTGCAGGTTGTAGCTGTGTTGGTCTAAAGACACAGGCAGACAAGATTCTTTGGATAAATTTGATATCTTTTTGGGGGTAAATCCGATATACAAAAAAAGATATTGAATTTACCCAAAGAACCTTATCTGAACTTTATATGGTGCAGTTGCATATATGCTAGAGTTCAGATGCTCTTCTTCAAATGCTCTGATTTTATGCCTTGTATAGCTCACTTTCAAAATAGTCTAAAACGGCTGTGTAAGAACATTTTCAATTTAACATTTATATTAAATATTTGCCGCCTAAACTACTAATCACTACCATTTTCTAACTGAAAAGCAAAGGTTTGTAGTGGCTGCCAAGAGTTCTGGGTTTTGTTTTTCTTATATTTTCTCTTCCTTTAAGTTTTCTTGTGGAAAGAATTCCCCCCACCCTGCCACATTAGTCTGGTTAGTCAGGTTCTTCAGCATTTTTAAAAATATAGTTTCCCATGGCACATTAAATATTTACATAATATAGCACTTATTCCTTGCTTCAATGGCACTTTGCTCCACCACTCTTTTACAGGCAAAACAGCAGGCATTCCTTATTCTATAAAAGTATTTGAGAAGGGCTCTAACAGATGAGAGGTAGCATAGTGGGTTAAACATATGGACGTTTGAGTGTTCTACATTATTTCTATTCTGTGAAGGAAACCAAAGGATCAAGTTACGGATGAATAACTGTCGGATTCACAGGATTTTACTCTGTGTTTATTCTGCCCTTTAACACGGATAAGATGATAAAGTTCAGCCACTTGTAACACAGCCAATCTTGAAGTGCTTTAGAGAAGATCTTAGTGCTTACCAACATTGCTGCTAGCAGAGTCCACAGATCAATTGATGAACTACCACTGCTTCAGGGAACAGCTGCCAGGTAAGGGAGCCAGCTTGAAGGATCTCAGCAAAAAGGAAATGTGATTGGTAGTAGATCTGCCTTGATTTGTCAGTGGGAACGTTGCGTTGGGCAGGGAATATAGAGCTGGTAGATTTTTTTGGAAGGAGTATTTTACTCAGGAAATGTCACATG